ATCCTCATATTTTGCCTCTTCCACCCCAGCCCCCACCACTATTCAGGATGCCTGTACCACCTAGGCCACCCCCTCCACCTCCATTTCCCTGGCCACCTATGCCACCTGATGGTCATATGCCACATGTAGCTATGGGATATAACCGTGCCCGGAATGGCCAGTTTGCAGGTCCTAGACACTGAAGTGTACATCAGTTTTCCCAAAGTGTTTTCCAATAAGATTTATACAGTTCATAGATATTGTTAAGCGTTACTTATCAAATACCTGTTAAATGAAATTGTGTACAAAGCTAGTGCCTTATCCTCTGTATACAGTTACGATTTCCTGTTCAATAAAAGTTTGGTTTAGCAGCATATTGGCTTTCAGAGTTATACTTTGTTAAGGGTATGAGTGGAAATTGCTAAGGGAATGAAATTTAAACAAAATATTAAAGAGGCCTCCATTTATAAAATAGTATCCTGGGTTATTTTTTGTTGTTTGTTTGGTTTTTGTTTTTATTAATTTTTTAAAAATTAAAACAATTTTATTTTACATACCAATCCTTCTCCCATCCTCCCATTTCCCCCCCAATCCCCCCATCCCACCCCCCCATCCACTCAAGGAGGGTGAGGCCTCCTATGGGGGATCATCAAAGTCTGTCACATCATTTGGGGCAGGGCCTAGGCCCTCATTCATGTATCTAGGCTGAGAGAGTTTCCCTCCATGGGGAATGGGCTCCCGAAGTCCACTCTTGAACTAGGTTCCACCTCCAGAGGCCCCATAGACTGCTCAGGCCTCCTAACTTACACCCACATTCAGGAAGCTTGTTTTGGCCGCATAATAGTTCCCCAACTGTCAGATGGGTCTGTGAACTCCCACTTGTTCAGGTCAGCTATTTCTGTGGGTTTCTCCAGCCTGGTCTTGACCCCTATGCTCATCACTCCTCCCTCTCTACAACTGGATTCCAAGAGTAAGGCTCAGTGTTTAGCTGTGGGTGTCTGCATCTGCTTCCATCAGCTACTGGATGAAGCCTCTAGGATGGCATATAAGGTAGTCATCAATCTCATGATAGGGGAAGGGTATTTAAGGTAGCCTCTCTATTATTACTTAGATTGTTAGTTGGGGCCATCCTTGTGGATCCCCAATAGGATATGTTCATCATGAAATCTTCCAAGTGCCCTAAGCAAGTATACACGGAGTAACACATTGTCTCTCTCTACATCTCACCCTCTCCGTTTACATTACAATTTTGCCCAGCATATGCATGTGCCAGTGGTTCCAAAGTGTTTCTGGGAAGGAAGCAGTAATTTCCAAGCAGTGTGGTGTTGCAGTGGATCAAAGGAACTCACGGCATTCTAGAAGGTTACTCATCACTCTTTAAGGGGGGGGGATAGCAGCCAATCACCTAACCATTCCCCTAATTTCATAAATTAAAGCTTTCTAATTTGTAGAGAGGGTGGAGACTGGAGTCATTCTGGCCCCCATAGCTCAGCCATTTGAGAGTAATGAGAACTAGCTCATCAAGCCTGGCAAAGAACCAGAGAGCTAGCTCAGGAGGTAAAAACATTTGAGATGCGAGTCTGATCACCTACCTTGACCCCTTTGCTCATCAGTCCTCCCTCTCTACAACTGGATTCCAGGAGTAAGGCTCAGTGCTTCGCTGTGGGTGTCTGCTTCTGCTTCCATCAGCTACTGGATGAAGGCTCTGGGATGCCAAATGCGAATTTGATCCCTGGAGCTCACAGTGGAGGGAAAGAACTGACTCAGCAGATTTGTCCTCTGACCTCCACACACGCACTGTGGCACATGCACACCAGCAACCAACACAAGTCACACATACAGATATATAAATAAGCATTGAAAATATAATAAAAAGACATAGGTTGGGAGTAGTGGCTCATGCCTTCAATTCCAGCCACCTGTAAAGACAGGGCAGGCAGTTCTCTGATTTTGAGGCCCATCTAGTCTATACAGTGAGTTCCAGGCCAGCCAGTGATACATAGACAGGTCCTGAACTTTTTTTTAAGTAAAATAAGTTTAAAGAATCATAAATTGTATTGTTCCCTTTCCTTACTCACAGGCAAAAAAGCCAGTTGCTATACATTTCCCATCTAAAAAGCAGAAATTTCACCACATATATATTTTCTCTATGTACTTTTATTATTTTTAAAAGAAATCATTTTACATTCTAACCAAAGTTCTCCCTCCCACCCCTCCTCCCACTCCCTTGTATGCCCCTT